AAAGGAAAGAAAAGGAAAGGAAAGAACTAAAGAAAGAAAAGGAAGAATATCTGGTAGAAAAATATCTAGGAAAGGGTGTGGTGTGGGAAGAACTGAGCTGGAGATATCAAGACACATATCACATCTCTCAATTCTTAATGCATGTAACAATTATGAGGACCATAAAATGTCTAAGTATGAAGGCCACTTTCAGGTTTGAAGTATACCTCACAACTATCTCTGCTATTTGTGCCCTTGGTCAATGTTACCATTGCCCCCTGATTTTCCACCTTGTGTAACTTTAAGGGGAGCCTGAATGTGAGTCCCAGTGGCTAAGGCTCACCACTCCAGTGACCCCGCGGTGACAGGCCCACTCAGCGCAGGTACAAGTCCAGCTAGCATCTTGTGTTCACTTTCCTGCATACTATTTTCTAATGCCAACTTGAACTGAGGCTCAGATTCCTGTTGTTCATTCCATTCTGCAGCATTAGCTTATGAAGCTCTTGGAGAAATATGGAAAACAGGACTGTTCAGAAATTCTGCCTTCTGTTCTGTTCCTCCTAGTTAGTTCCTCCTCCTCCTCCTTAGCCAGTCTTGTTTTGCTACACATGTCACTTCCGTAATTTGGAGCCAATCTCTAGCTAGGCCATTGGCTTTAAACAATCAGTTTTGCACCCGGGGCTGGTTTCTGCTCTTCTTTCTCTCACCCACCATTCACACACACACACACACACACACACACACACACTGTGGCATCTTTTCTTTGGTGATGGCCTAGCAAACTCTGCTCCATGCAAATTTCCTCTCTTCTCACCTAATCAAGCAAGTTCTCACAGTAAATTGGTTTCCTTTCTAAATCATTACCATTTTTACTATTGTCCTTTCCATTGTAATTATTTATATCAACATCTAAATTATGCTAATATTCTCCCTTCTTGTCAGAATAAAAAATATATTAAAATCACCAAAAATTGTACTTGCTTCTCCGTCTACTCCCCATCCTTTTATTTTGATCTTAACCTCAGAATCCTCAAAATAGTTGTCTATCTTCTGCTTCTATTTCTTTTTCCCCACTTTCTCAAGAGTTTTGTTCCCAACTTTCCAAAGAAATTGTTAACAACAGCAATGTGCTCAGAGTGAATGGTCAACTCTTAGACTTCCACATATTTGGCAAAATCTCTCTATATTTGACACCTTACTTTGAGACAGTCCATATTTTGTGGTTCTTGGGGTCTTACCAATTGCACTGAATGGATACCTCTGTAGTTAGTACCGTGTGAATACTTAGGTAACTCCAAGAATATTTCTGACCACCTCAATCTCTATCTAGGCTCCAAACTGTGAATACTATGGAATACATCTCTCAGTTTTAGACCTCTGGGTTTGATTTCTACTGTGTAAGATTTTTATCTAACTGCCACTTGAGAATCTCAAATTGAGTATTTTAACCCTCTACAAAACTGACACCAAAGCTTAATTCCTGCCACCCATCATTTACCTTGCACTCGATCCTACTTTAGTCTTTGAAGTTTCATTAATGTAAATATTCTGCGACTCAAAGCCAAAGCAAAATAAAATTTATAAACAACGGGACCAACTTGAGTCACTATTTTTTTCTCTTACTCAATGCCTTCTTATTAATCACAAAGTTCCCAACTTGATTATTTTACACTAAGCTTTCTTCAACCCTTCTTTCACAAAGCACTCTCTGCTCTCACAATTTAAACACAAGAAGAAGGTGATTTACTCCTGGATTTTGTTCTATCCTCGAACTGGCTGAAGTTGTGTCTTCTGCCAAAGGATAGAAATAGAAATAAATGCGCTCAGATCATTTGTGACATTTTCAATTCAGTATGTGAACTGAATTATTTGATTTTTATAGTACATAGCATAGGTCTGAGAATATTACTAGATTACTAATGATCTAGTAGAAACCTACGCACAGGTCACACAACTGCAATTTCTCAACCTCTTTTATTTTGTAGTAGATTTTTTTTTCTGTGTCTCCTCCTACTGTGACCTTGTGCTTTAGATATTCTTAAGCTTGTTGCTTCTATCCTTTGTAATGTCTGAAAACCACCTAAATAGTAGCTCTATTTGTCAGTATTTACAATCTTTAGGTAGCAACTTGCTGAATGTTGTTAATGAAACACAGAAGCTAATAGTAGAGATGCACATAATTTGCATATCCAGTAATGCCTCAGAGAATGATTCAGTAAATAATTTTATTTACATACTTATAGAAGAAATTGATTGTTGAGATATAATGCCAAGTATAGGAGAATTTAGGTTACACAACTGAAGTTATTTAGAAATCATGCTGGCAGTCATTTTTTGTCTTGTTTTATTTTTTCTTTTGATACAGGATCTCACTATGCAGTTTGGAGTCCTAGTCATCCTCAACCACCCCATGCTGGGATTACAGGTGTGCACCACCATGCCCAGTTTTGGAGCTGGCATGACATGCTGTGCCACAAATCGAACTCAGGAACTTGCCAGGCAGCTGCTAAGATTGCCAAGCTATCTCCCTAGCCTCATTACTTTTTTTAATTCTTAAAATCTCAATTGAAAAATTAAAGTAAAATGTTCACATACATAGGAGTCCATTTTCTTACTTTATTTACAGAAAAAAAAGTCCTAACTGAGGGTATTATTTTCCACTGAGCTATTGGAGTAGTGCAGTATTTTTAGTTTCTTTGTAAACATGAATATTTCATCTCAAGAAAATATTTTATTTTACTTAATATCATAATATTCACAGAGCAAAAGGAAGTATTAATGCATGAATAGATGAGAAATCTACCATGAATTGTCAGAATATATTAACTGGTATCATTCTTTTGCCCAGCTAATTGATATGAATTGTTTCCTGTATTTAGGACTTTTGATTGTGCTGGATAGAGTTCAATGGAGAAACAGGACTCCATCAAACAGAGTAGGGTCTCCACCAAAAACATCCTCAGGCACCCCCCATAAAAGATCATAACATTCTTAAAACAGAACAAGGCAATGATGTCAGTGCCCCATGCAACTTGTCTTCAACTTGGACGCATCAGCTTGCAGCTGGTAGGTTTTACACTGTGAATTTCATTTGAACAACCTAGGGCACTTGGCAATAGCCCTAAAATTTTGCAAAGGGTGCATGCAATGATGATGCCTCCTGCCTTTGGAGGCTCACCTGTAAAAGGCCAATGGTGAGCCTCGCTCATATTCTAGGCAAACACGAGCTCTGTGGTAAGAAAAGAGCTAAAGGCCCTTAAGATGGGGATTTTCGTTATCAGTTTTTTCTTTTTTATGTATTTAGTACAGGGTCTACAGGGTCTCACTACGTAGATCACACTCATAATGATCCTGTTTTCAGCCTCCCAAGCACTGGGATTACAGGTGCACACCATCACGCCCAGTCTCATTCTGTCTCAGTGTGCACCGAGGATGGGGCCAGCACAGCACACTAGGGATTGAACCCAGTCCCTATGCCTGCCTAAGCAGGCACTTTAATCAGGGGAGCTATCTGGCCAGTCCTGATTTTCATTAAATTTAGGCTATTAACAGGTTTATGTGCTCCCTTGGGCTTTTACCAAAAGGTTGTTGAGTCCACGCTCCTATTTAGAAGAAGCTGCTTTCTTTTCCTAGCCCATACGAGCTTCCATGTGTATGACACACAGTGTTTGCCAAGGAAGGGGCGGGCTTAGCCAGCACGTTACTATAGCTGAGGTGTTCCAGGCCCTTTTTCATCCTGCTACCCAGCTATGGTAAGACCCTTGTTCATCAGGAGATCGACAGCATCAGAAGCACTCACAGACGGCCGTATGTGCCACAATCTCAGGGAGCCTTGATTTATGCTTACCGCTTTATTGCCTCTTCTTGTCTTCGGCGTTTTTCATTCTTCTCCTTGAGATAGGCCAAGTTGGTTTCATTTCTCAGGCGATCGTTTTCTCTAGCAATGTCGGATGCATTCTGAATCACCAGGCCATCATACGCCTTCATCCCCACATCCTCAATGTACTGAAGAAAGTGGTCCAAAGGGTCTTCCTCGGGATTCACACTCATCATCTTGGAGGGTATCATGTGAAAGGAGCACTTCCTGTGTGAGAACACATAGTACCTTTAACCAAGCAGGAATAAAAGCAAGGTGCGGTAAATATCGCTAACATTTTGTGAGTTTGAATCTCCAGAGGTTGTGGTGGAATCCGTTTGGACACAAAGTTTCATTAGAAATCACAAACCTAGACTAGGGAGATAGTTTGGCAATCTGAGCTCCTACCTGTCAAGCACAAGGCCCCAGGTTTAACCCCCAGTACTTTGCTAGCCCTGGAACCCTAGGTGTGCTGTGCCAGCCACCGAATCTGGGTGTGGTGGTGCACACCTGCAATCCCAGTGCTAGGGAGGTTGAGACAGGAGGATAACTATGAGTGGGAGACCCTGTAAGAAAGAAAGAAAGAGATTTTTTTTTTAAAAAAAAAGCAATTACAAACCCCTGTGATATTTGAAGAAATATTAAATGAGTGATACAGGAACATCAAACACTCCAAAGAAGCAACATTAACCATTGAAGATCGTACATCATGTACTGCAGAGGTATGGGAAATGATAAATATTATGTGTGAGGATAACCATTTGGTTTACAAAATTACTCGTGATTTGTTTCTCAAAAATGTGTTCTTACACCAGTAAAACATATGAGATCAAAGCATCATTTATTTCTCATCATTATAAAGACATTTCTGTGGAACTTCAAATAAAAGGGTTAGTTGGGAGAAATCCTATATGTATTCTCTTCCAAGTTTTAAGTTAAAATTTTAAAATTAAAGAGCAGTCATTCAAAGAGAAAGAAATTATATTTCTAATGTAATTTTTGTAGGACAAGATTTCTTTTGCACTTCTGTTATTTTCCACAAGGTCCTCTCAATATTAGCTTCATCTTAGGACTTCTTCTAAGTCAAATATTGTAGAGCACCAGGAGCAGTTTAATCCAGACCAGTCTGGTAATTTATGCCATCACTACACAAATGTATAAAAACATAATACCTAGAGAAGATTATTGAGAAATCAAAGCAAAATTGAAAATACGAATCTTTCAATCAGAATATATTATTGTCATCTATAAAATAATACATAATAACCTACCCCTATGATGGTTGAAGAAAAAGTGAATGAAAGGATTTAGAATAGAGATCAAAGAAAATGTGCATGTAAAATTAGTTAATATCATGATAGAATTATGAGAAGAGTAACAGCAATAGTAATATTTAGCAATTTGTTGTTGTTTTGGAACTAGGAACTAAACTCAAGACTTCGCATATGCCAGGCAGGTGCTGTGCCACTAAGCTACATCGCCAGCCCCAGCAGTAGTAATATTAATTGAATGCATGTGAAGGATAGATGGACTGATGGATGGATGGTTGGATGGATGTGAATGAATGGATAAGCAAGCAGGCTACCAAACTCTTCATGTCTTGACAACAAAGTTTCCAACTAATTGCAGCAAAAATTTAGGGAAATTGTGCTTTAATCAAATGAAGACACAGAAACAAAACTAAATGAATTACATACAAACAAATTTATTCTTTTAGGTATAGCTGAATAAGATGTAAAAATCAAAACCAGTCACCTAGGGGAAAAAGTTGTCCAGTTAAAATTATAAATTACCTTATATCTTTTACTTTTTTCATAAGTCTTTCAAATGTATTTTGAATATATGAGTCTACTTAATTGAAAAAGTCTAGACTTTTACCTTTTCTATTACAAATCAATACCTTTCTCTTTTTAAACTATAATCATATTTCATAATGTAGGTTGTAGCTGCAGAAATTCATTTCTCATCAGTGTTTATCAGCCGTATAGCCGCCAGTTAATTTATATTTGAAGTCAAGAATTTCTTCTTCAAAGGAGTTCATACACAAAGAGCCTGGATAGAATCATTTGTTGACTTAATATTTTTGTTATGCCAAATTTGTAGGATGTTTTGTTTGTTTTTAAGCCCTAGTGGGTTAGAGATGAAATGATCTTTTAATTCCAACTATCTAATGTAATTGGATTGTATTTTAATATCAGCCCATCAGATCAGAAGCTTGAGTGGTATACATGCACAGAAAAATGAAATTACTGTTGCAAATAATTGCAATTTGTAGGGGAGGATACAAGGAAATATTTCTCAGATGGATTGAACATGATTTTTTTTTTATCAGGAACTCACTTCTACCAATGGCCTCAGTTCTCAAGTGCCTGGATAAAACACAGATTGCCTAGCTTTATGGCCATTAATTTTATCCAAGTTATGTAACGCAAGCTAGTGTCACCAGGTGCTGGAGACGATGCCTCGGGCTAGAGTTGATCACTCCTACTCTGCCCTCTAGCAAACTTATATCTATGAAGCATTATTATCCAAAGAATTTTATTTTTTCCCTGAAATTTCCTCCCAATTCAGATGGCACAAATCATTGTACACAGTTTATAGACTCTATGTATTATCAAGTTAATTGTTAACCAATAAACATTAGTAACCTTTGTAGCTTATTTTTCAAATCTTCTGAGTTTTAAGTAATGTTTGGGGCCGGGGAGATAGCTTAGCAGCATAAGTGCCTGTCTAGCAAAGCATAAGGTCCTGAGTTCTATTCCTGAAGCATAAAAATTCTGCTTGTTGTCCCAAAATATTAAATAATATTAATACAAAATATTTATACTAAAGACAGTCTTATGATTTTTAATTGGAAATGAAAAATTTTTAAATGACACCTAACCATAAAATTACTAAAATTCAACAGTTTGAAAACAGGATTGATTTGGCTATAAATGGCTATAAATGCTCATGTCATCTGATTCTACAGAAGTAACTGATTCTGTGAACATTCTTTTCAAGTATTAATTGAGGGATTGCTTAGAATCAGACACTAATGCAGTCCAAGTGATGTCCTTCTGCATGTCCACACTGCAGAATAAGCAAATAATAATTAACTGTATACTGTCTGAATAGGGCACTGATTCAGGTGAGAATCATTAACTGGTCAGGCTTGCTTTATTTGTACCACGTTTAATGGAAAATAAGGACCACTTGGCAACAATTGTATACAGTCCTGAAAGATGGGTAAAGCAGTATACAAAGTGGCTTTTACCTATAATCCCTTCCCTTCAGGAGGCTGAGACAAGAGGACTGTGAATTCAAGGGCAGGCTGGGCTATATAAAGAATTGACTAGATCCAGGTTAATGTTTAACCATCACATTTTTATCCATTTGCTCCTCTTCATGTAGAAGAAGAGCATGTCTAGTATGCTATGCAGGGGAGACTGTGAGGCAGCCTCGATGGACAGTGATGACAAGATTTGTGGCGTGGCTTCAAAGTAACGAACTTCTGAGTCTATGGTGTTTTGTAGATTAATTGACACTCATAAGCTCTGCCTTCCATGTTGAGATAACAGTGGCTAGAGCAGACTTATGTTCTGAGGGTTCAGTGAAAAAATGAATCCATGTGCTCAATTATATGATCACAATTATCAGTAACTAACACTACTCTTTGATATTTTGCCTAATCCCTAATTGTGCACAAGGTTAGCTTTAATAAGAATACCACTCTTTAATCAATATAATTTTACTTTGAAACACATCTATTTCAAAGGATATTTGAGTGGATCAACCTCCTTAGTTACAGATGCACCAATGGAAAAAATAGGAATGAACACATTTCTCCACCAACCAAGTGCTTCTTGCCCTATCACTTGTCTATGATCTCCATTGTCTAAATCTAGAAACTAAGAGAAATAAGACCTGTGGACCATGAAGTTTATCCCATCTCTTAAGCCCCTGGACTCTACCCTGCTGGGAGAATGGGAAAACCCATTTGATTCATGGACCCATTAAACATAAGTAAACTTCATGTTATTTTCCTTTTCACAACTGCTACCCCTTCGTGGAATGAAAGCAAACAAGTAAGACCATAAAGCTGTTTGCTTTTCAGAAATACATATTTACCACTAAGATAGGTATTGAACAAATATGCCCTATAACATCAGACACTTAGATATAGTTTGAATGTTGGTCATTAAATCAAGCTAATTCATGCCCCACTCATGTCATCTGTTCTCAAGGGTTTTACAAAGGCTCAACTTCAGTACCAGTTACTCAGGTGGCATTTTTAGAAGCCCATGTTTGTTAAGAGGCAAGTGAGGTCTGCTTCTCAAGGAAACACCTCTAGATGTACCAGTGAGTAAGCATTTACCTTATTGTGTCTTTAATTAGGGCACAAGATACTGACACCAGAGTAAGTGAGATTTGGGGGATCTGTTAGACTGAAGCAGTGAATATCTGCAGCCAGCTTTGAATGTTGGTTATTAAATCAAGATAATTTGTGCCCCATTCATGTCATCTGTTTTCAAGGGTTGTACAAAAGTTTGCTCAAAATGAATTAGAGATTTTAACTTCACCTACCTGCTGTCCTGAAGCAGTGATTAAAAACAGGTAGAGTGTGTGGTCTTTATTTTAAAGGTGGGAATGTTCTCTTCATATGTAAATTATCAGTCCAAATAATATAATATTGTGTAGGTATTTGTTGAAATTTATGGACAAAATTTATAGTTCATGTCAGGGAATCTTTCTGGGAAACCACCTAAATGATTAAGTCAGATTCTGTACACCATCTACACATAACTACATGTATTCCCTTTGTATCTTTTTTTCCACAAGTGTATTCTGCATCCACAAGATGCTTCTTCTATTTAATGTTTAACTTACTATGTCTAGAATTGGAGAATGGTGAACAAGTATATAAAAGCTACCGAGACTATCTTGAAGACAAATGGTGACTACCTGTTCAGCTTTACTTTCCTTGATTCTATCACTTCAGTACTTATAATGAGTCTTGTTGACCACACCCTTCCAAGCATTACCCGTATGGTATCGCTACACTTCCCCAAATGTGCAATTTCACTCCACTGAGCCAGAATATACCAGACTAAACTCATGGGATTTGTGCCGCCCTATCCAAGCATTTAACTTTGCATTGAGTTAAACAGTTCATTGCTTTCTTTTGTCCAAAACCATCACTGTTCTCACCAACACTGAACCTAGAGCTTAA